GGTGCGGTTGGCGCAGGATAGAGCAGGGTTTAGAGCTGTTGTGCATAGGGTCGCTATGAGTCGGAAACGACTCGATGGCACATAACAACAACAACAAGAACAGAATATGGACAGGAAACTACTAGAAAGTCAAGCTGGTTTTAGAAGAGACTGCAGCACCAAGGATATCACTGTTGATGTCAGATGGGTCCTGGGTGAAAGCAGAAGATACCACAAAAATGTCTGTTTGTGCTTTAGTGACTATTCAAAGACATTTGACTGGATCACAACAAGTTATGGCTAACACTGAGATGAATAGGAATTCCAGAACATTTAATTATATTATGAAATCTATATCTAGACTAAGAAGCTCTTGTCCAAATGGAACAAGAGATCACTGCATGGTTATGGTTTAAAATCAGGAAAGGTGTGTGTCAGGTTTGTATCTTTACTCTATAATTAATCTGTGTGCATGCTGAGCAAATAATTACCAAAGACTCTATGAAGAAGATGGTGGCATCAGGATTGGGGCAAGACTGATCAATAGTATGCATTATGCAGATGACACAACTTTGCTTGCTGAAAGTGAGAATAAGAAGTTCTTACTGCAGAGGATCCAAGACTACAGCCTTTAGTATGGATTACATCTCAACAAGAAGAAAACAAAGGTCCTGACCACAGATACTAACAGTCAATATTATGTTAGATGGAAAAAGCCATCAATGATCTCATCTGCGTTAGATCAACAATCTGCACCCTTGGTACTAGCAGTCAGGAAATCAGGAGACTTAATGCATTGGGCAAAACTACTGTCAGGCACCTCTCCAAAGTGCTGAAGAGCAGCGATGTCAGTTTAAAGATCAAAGTGCTCCTAATTCAGACTGTGGTCTTCTCAATCACATGTCATGCACCTGAGAGCTGAACAGTGAATAAAGATAAGAGAAGAAGAATTGATACCTTTGAGTTATGATATTGGAGACGGGTACAGAATGTCCCATGGACTGCCAAAAGAAAAAACACGTATGTCTTGGAAAAAGTGCAGACAGAGTGATCCTTGGAGGCAAAGATGGCAAAGCTATGTCTTTCCTACATTAGACATATAGCTATTTGAGGCTATTCCTTGAAAGGGAGATCATGCTTGGAAAGATGGAGGGTCAGCAAAGGAGAGAAAGACCTCCAATGAGATGGATTCAGCAGTGGCCTCTAATGTGTCAGAGATGATGAGGATGGCACAGGATAGAGCAGGGTTCAGGTTGGTTGTTCATGTTGTTATATGCCATCGAGTCGTTTGTGACTCATAGCGACCCAATGTACAACAGCCCTAAACCGTGCTCTATCCTGTGCCAATCTCATTGCCTCTGACACACACATCCCGATTACCCCAGTCACTGAATCAATCCACCTCATAGAGAGTCTTCCCCTCCTGTGCTGTCCGTCCACTCTACCCAGCATCATGTCCCTCTCTAAAGACATGCCTCTCCTTACATGTCCAAAGTATGTCAGACGAAGCCCCAGAATCCTTGCCTCCAAGGAGCAGCCTGGTTTAATCCTCTCTAAGATGAATCTGTTTGTTTTATTGGCAGTCCATGGTACATTCAATACTCTTCTTCAGCACCACAGCTCGAAGGCATCAATTCTCCTTCTATCCTCCCTAGTCATTGTCCAACTCTCTGATGCATAACAAGTGATTGCAAAAACCATGGCCTGTATCAGGTGCACCTTAGTCTCCAGAGAGAAACCGTTGCTCTTGATTACTTTAGAGAGGTCCCTAATAGCAGACTTTCCCATCGCAATACGTTTTTTGATTTCCTGGCTGCTGGTGCCAAGAGTGTTGACCGTGGAGCCGAGCACACTGAAACTGTGAACAATCTCAATCTCTTCACCATCCATCCTGATGCTGCCAATTGGTCCAGTGGTGAGAATCTTTGTCTTCTTGACATTGAGCCTCAGTCCATATTGAAGGCTGCAGTCCTTGACCCTCTGCAGTAAGTGCATGAGGTCCTCTTCAGTTTCAGCGAGCAGGGTTGTGTCATCTGCATAACGCAAATTGTTGATAGATCGTCCACCAATCCTAATGCCACGCTTCTCCTCATAGAGCCCAGCCTCTCAGATAATGTGCTTTGCATACAGGTTAAAAAGGTATAGAGATAGGACACATCCCTGGCGTACACCCTTCTCAATTTTGAACTATGCAGTATTGTCCTGCTCTGTTCTGATGACTGCCTCTTGGTCCAAGTATAGGTTTCGCATTAGCATGATTAAATGTTCTGGGATTCCCATTCTTCTCAGAGTCAGCCACAAACTATTGGTTGTTCATAGGGTTGCCATAAGTTGTCCATGATGGCACCTAACAACCTAATAGCAGCAGTAGAGGGAGCTCTGATTGCACTGTTTATCAAAAGGTAATGTCTGGTAGTTCAAATCCACCACCTGCTCCCTCAGAAAAAGATGGGCGGTCACTGTTAGGACAGTGAAAAGTTCAAATTTGATTGGTTAATTTTGAAAGGTAATATTAGTGAATAGTATGCACAAAGTGGCTCCCATATGCCAGGTGCTATGCTGGGCACTTTCCACATATTATATACTTTTTAATGTAATATCCCTGAGAAATGATTATCTTCTTTTATATGAAAAAAAAAATCTCCAACCAAACATATGAGCCCAACTCAAAGACACTAAGAAACTTATCTCCAATCACAAATTTATTTATAACAATAATAAACATTTATTGAGCCTTTACTGTGTGCTAGGCATTGCTCTTAAGTATATTATAAAGATGAAGTCATTTAACTTTTCACTACTGTAGGAGCAACTGTTATTATCCCCATTTTACAGGTAATAAACTAGGTGAAGTTACCTAGCATGTTATGCAGGTGGTAAGTCCATCTGGCAGGTAAGTGATGTGCTGCAGAGCCCAAGCAGTGAGACTCTGAAGCCTGTACTCAGCCCTTGTGCTCATGATTAAAGCTTCTTGTTGTATGCTGTTGAGTTGGAACCAACACATAGTTAACCCTTCAGTGAGTTTTCCGAAGCTGTAAATTGCATGGAAGGAGGTTGCCTTCTTTTTCCTATGTTCCTTTAAAAGTTGATTTGAGCACTAATTTCCGACCCCCACCCCCAACTTACTTTGGCTTCTTTCTCAATTTTGGGGGAATTTTTTTGTATGTTAATCCTTATAGGGAAGAAAGTATAAGTTTTTATAAATACTCATGATTTCCCCCCCCCTTTTTCTCTCTATATACTGGTTTATTAACAAAGTTTGTATACATTGTTTTTCACACCAAATCTTTTCCATTTCCTTCACCCCCCCATCAAATTGTACAACTCTATGATTAATCCCCCTTCTGCTCCCACCCTCCCTCTCCTTGGATCATACTCGTTCTACAATAATGGTCTTATACAGTATTTGTCCTTGTGGGACTGAGTTAGTTCACTTAGCATAATGCTCTCCAGTCCCTCCCAAGTTACGTAGTAATTTACAAAATCATTGCTCCTGTGTGCTGGGTAGTATTCCATCATGTTAATGTACCATAATTTCTTAATCCCTTTCATTGTGGTTGGACATCTTGGCTGTTTCCATGTTCTTGCGATGGTGAATAACACTGCTGTGAACATTGGTGTACAAGTCTCCATTTGTGCCTCAGTTCTTATTCTCTTGGGGCATGTTCTAAGCAGTGGAATAGCTGGGCCATATAGAATATCTGTGCTCAGCATTTTGAGGAAATGCCAAACTGCCTTCCAGAGTGGCTGTACCATTTTCAGTCCCACCAACAATGAGTAAGAGTTCCTCTCTTGTTATATCCTCTTCCAACATTTATTACTTACTGCCCTGTTAAACTTTGCCATTGCTACTGGAGTGAGATGGTATCTCATTGAGGTTTTGATTTGCATCTTTCTCATTGCCAGTGATTTAGAACATTTCTTCATGTGTCTGTTGGCCATCTGAGTATCTTCCTCTGTCAAAATTCTTTGCATGTCTTTTGCCCATGTAATTGGGCTATCAAAACTCATGATTTTAAAACACAAGCTTGACCTTCTTAATATTTTTCTGTCTCTAGGTACTCCGGTTCAAAATGATCTGCAAGAATTTTTTGCATTAATTGATTTTGTAAATCCGGGCATATTAGGCTCTCTGTCATCCTATAGAAAAATATATGAAGAACCCATTATCACATCAAGAGAACCTTCTGCTTCTGAGGTATAACTTACTTTAATAAATAATAGAAAAATGTATGCATAAGTACACACAGTTTATTTTTATCTGTCTCTTAAGTGTGTATTTAATTCATGTGTATTTTTATTTAAAAGAAGTTATATTGTTGAGTGAACAACTTTACATGATTGTGAAAGAACCTACCATCTCTTGTGCCAGTAATATCTGATAGAACTAGTTTTAGATCAGTAAGTTGTCAAAACATATTGGCTTCTACGGATTTGCTTATAATTTCTTTGCTTGTGATGTTAAGACCATATACCTATTCAGTCTTCATATTAAAACTTCCTTGGAGAAAAATTTGTTGATTATCGATTTCTTATGGTTCTCTACAGGGCCAATAGCCAGACAAACAAGGATTAGGCAATTTGTGGCCTCACTTAACTAAATACTATGTTGAACAATTAAAGAGCTCATGGTTGTTTTTTCTATACTAAACTCATATTTTATTTATTCTGTGCGTGTGTTTGTTTGAAATATAAAGCTGTTAGTAAATGAGTTATCTTTATAACATGTTTCAAGTTAATTTTAACCGTAAGTATTATTTGTAACTTTTTTTTAACTGCTGTTTTTCCTTAGGAAGAAAAGAATTTAGGAGAGTCACGAGCTGCTGAACTTACTCGCCTCACTGGACTCTTTATCCTTAGAAGAACCCAGGAAGTCATAAATAAATATCTTCCACCTAAAATAGAGAATGTTGTTTTTTGCCAGCCAGCAGCTCTACAGATTGAGCTTTATCGAAAGCTGTTGAACTCTAAGGCTGTGCGGTTCTGTCTTCAGGGGTTGCTGGAAAATAGTTCTCATTTGATATGTATAGGAGCTCTTAAGAAACTGTGCAATCATCCCTGCCTTTTGTTCAGTTCTATAAAGGTAAGTATTTGAGGGCCATGGATATGAATTGAGAGGACTATGTCAAGTGAATCTTGATGCAAAGGTTGTACTGATCCCTGTAGTTGGTTGTGGGTTTCTCCAGTGTGGTCTGCTCTAGAGCTGATCCAGCCTCTTACTTCTTTAGAGCATGCCCACACCCACAGAGCTGGACTCGGGATGACATGAGTTTAAGGCATTGCTTTCAAGATTTAGCCCTCTGTTTTTTGGCACCTTATCAAATACTCTGCCATGTTTTTTTATGCATGTTAATATAGTCAATTTTGTCTATTTGGGGCTAACAGTTTGAAATTTACCTTAAAAACACACACACATACCACTTTGTTTTTTCCCTCATTTTAAGTGATATATGAGTGTTTATAAAGTTGGTAAAAGACTCATAAGTCTGTCATAAATTTTCTGATTGGAAATTTGTAATTTGATATTAATACTACTATTAACTGACCTTTATTAAGCATCTACCATGTAATGAATCCCATATTAAGTGCTTTTCTATTGCTATTTATTCTTTACAAAAATTGTCTGGAGTATATACTGTTATCATACCATTTTTGATGAAGAAACAGGGCCTCAGAAATGCCCATCTATTATCTTATTTTAGAGAAGCTTTCTAAGTATGATGTTTAACAGCTACACATTTGAAGTGACAGTTTGGGTATTAATAATCATGAAGTAGTTTTGAATATAGGAAGAATTTTTTAGGGTTAGACCTTGGTTTCTATCACTCCTTTATTATTTGCTACTTTCTTAACTAGGAAAGTTTAATCATAAGGAAATTACATTTATGAACCTTAGTTTATTTATCTGCAAAGTACAGGCAGTAGTGGTTTCCTGATAATGTTATTGTCACGATTCCATAATATAATTTGGAAAGAACATTTTTTGAATTAGAATGCCTGGCCATACAAATTGCATAGTAACTGTTGTGTTCAATATCCTTAAGTCACCTTTAATGATTTTTATTCTGCTAACTGACTATAACAATGAGCCCAATTGTGTCAGAATGTCAGAGGTTGTAAGCAGGTTAAAGTGTAGTACAAGGTTCAAATCTGCTGTTCATTGATTCACTGTGAGTCGTAGATGACTTGATGGCACATAACAATTTTTTTTAAACAGTAAAAATGTGATTTGCAAATAATAACATTTGAATGTTACATTATACTTGAGGTCACTAATTACAGACTTACTTAGAAAGTCGAGTATTCTATCAGAATTCTTCATGGCTATCCCACAATGACTTACATTAACTTAATTTATGATAGAAGAAAGCAGTCTTTGTAACTCTGCAGTAGGCTGGATTATAACAATTTATTATGAGTATTTTAAGAAACAAGTTTTTTATACAATACCTAGCCAAAACATCTTCCTTAAAAGGAATATCTTATTATGGCCCAGAATATGCTAGTTAATTTGGAAAATCCTTGCAAGGACTGGAAGAAAGCAACAGAGGACTCAGTTTTTCTCCACTTTTATCATATGTTATCCAGTACTGGGCATAGAACACTACAAACTTAAAATAGGATACAGATATACAATCTGAGACGTTTTAAGTAAAAGCTTACCTGTAATACCACAGAAAATAAGGATGAATATGTTACTGTTAAGTCATATACAACTCATAGTGACCATCTGCACAACAGATCTTAACCTTACCCTATCCCATACTGTGCTTGCCATCTCTGATAGCAGGAATTTTTTTTTTTTAAACTTTTTGTGTGTGTGTGTGTGTGTGTGTGTGTGTGTGTGTGTGTACCATCAAATCAGATTTGACTGATACAGGAGATTGCTCCTCCTCTTCTCCAGCAGAGCATCTGGTGGATTCAAACTGCATACCTCTGGAATTGCAGTGCAGCTTCTTGCCACTAGGCCACCAGAGCTACCTAGGAATCCATTTTTTTCTTTTTAATTTTTTTTAGTATTAATTTCAATGAAAATTTAGAGAGATTATGGCTTTCCTTTCATTCATTGTTGCACTTTTCTCCCCTCCCAACCCTCCCCCCCCAGTACACTACCCTCTTGGAAAAGTAAAAGAAAAATTCTTTATTGTTTTACAGTCCCCCCAGGTCCACCCCACTATGCAGCCTTCGCTCTGGACTGCTGTCATGACAAAAATACCTAATCACATATCTCTTTAAACAGTTTTCTCCCTCATCTGTTGCAATGCAGTGTACATTATTGAACCCATCTTTCTCAGTCTCCCCCCAACCCCGATATCAGTCCTGCTTTACAACAGTGGCACCATGCAGTATTTGTCCTTTTGTGACTGAGATACTTCATGCAGCATAATATCCTCCAGGATCACCCATTTTGAATAAAATTGCATGAGTTCCTTGTTTTTCAATACCACAACTTCTCTATCCATTCATTTGTTGATCAGTTAGGTTGTTTCCAACTCCTTGCTATTGTGAACAAAGCTGCAATAAACATGGGGGTGCATAGGAACTAATTTTTATAGTGATTGTGTCAAATTCATCTTATTGAGGGTCTTTTTTTCTTACTCTGACCCTCCACCTTTTCCAGTGTGATGTCAGTTTTCAAGGACTACCCCATCCTAATAACTTTTTATTTGGTTAGTGTGAATCATTTCCCTTTGATGTTGGTTGTGTTGTGGTTTTTTTTTTTTTTGGTTGTTTTTCCCCCCCCCCCATTTTTATTGTGATTTCAGTGAAAATTTACAGAACAAATTGATCTTCCATTGAATTGTTGTTAGGTGCCATCAAGTCGAATATGATTCATGACGACCCAGTGAACAGCCGATCTGAACCCTGTCCTATCCTGTGCCGTCCTCATCATCTCTGGCACACTAGAGCCCACTGCTGAAATCACCGTGTCAGTCTGTCTCGTTAGGGGTCTTCCTCGCCATCATTTCAAGCATGCTGTCCCTTTTCACTGAATAGTTCACACATAGTTTTATGACATTGATTGCAGTTCCCACAATAGAATTACATTCTTCTCATTTCCTCTTTGTATTTACCTTCCATTTGTCCTTTTCCCCCCCTCTCTTCCTGCTTTCTCAACTTTATCCCTGGCAGATGTTGCCCTGTTGGTTTTGTGTGGATGATTGTTCTAAGAACTACATACTTCCCTAGCTTCACTGTTCACCTTGTAGGTCTGTCTGCCATTTTGCTGAGAATTGAGCCACAGACGTGAGTTCATATCCAGACTTGAAGGGTAGCTAAGAGCCTTAAGAACTCTTCCAGTCTCTCTCAGGCCAGCCACCTTGGTCTTTTTGTGATTTTGAGTTTTTTCAACTTTTTCTTCCGTTCTATCTAGTAGGACTTCCTCCTGGGGACTCTTCTACAGTGGTCAGTGGTGGTAGCTGGGTATCTAGTTCTTCTGGTCTCAGGATTGTGGGGGCGGAGGCGTATGCGCTCTATTATGTGCTTATTTTGGTCTGTTTCCTTTAGTCTTTTATTTCCTTCACTCTTCCTAGAGGTTAACTATGTTGTTATTGTGTACTGTCGAGTCAGAAGCCACCCATGGCTGACTCTCTGGCAGGTTTTCAGAAGCAGTTTATCACACAAGAGGAGATTGCCCATCCTCCTCTCACAGAGTAGCTGGTGGCCTCGAAGTGCATGCCTTTGGGATTGCAGTGCAACTTCTTGCCACTAGGCCACCAGAACTCCCCAGAGGTTAAATATATTTAAAGTATTATTATCATTTATTATTATTTTTAAATTATAAAAAGCTATGTACTAGATCCTGAATCTGTGGCCCTTGGTAAACCTTTCAAGGTGTCAGCCCCTCTGGTGGTGAAGTCAGTGGTGCGATGTGCTGTTAACCCAAAGGATGTGCCTATCTAGTGGTTTGCTCCACCAGTGCCTTTGAAGGAGAAAGATGAGCAGTCTGCTTCTGTTAAGATTTGCAGCCTCAGAAGCCTGATGAACGGTTGCTGTGAGTCAAAACCCAACTCGATGACAGTGAGTTTGAGTGACCAGCCAGCAGCCATCTCTTTCACACTGTCTCTGGGTGCCGCATTTATCAGTTATGTAAATTTACTAAAAGATTGCTCTATTTTGTGATAAGGTAATTTAAAATTGATACTGTGTGCCCAGAATATCATGCTAATGGTGATTTAAGGGAGGATTGACTGCCTGTAAGATGTTTCTACTGTTGTTCAATACAGAAGAGAATAGACGTGAACATATTAGGGGCATATAAAAAAATAATATAGTTTATTGTTCAAATAAGATTATAGTGGAATTGTACAGATTCTGTAGAGGAATCCTGATTAATGGGGAGAAAATGCAGAACAGAAAATTCTCATGAACTTTAGACTTTTTTGAGCCTTAGAGGGTGGATGAATCCCTGAAACTTTCCTTGAGATAATTTTAAACCTAGAACTTGTTAAGGTTAAGATCCAGTGTTCTTGTGTTTCAACTGAATCATTAAAATTTCAATGCAAGGGAAAAAAAAATCCAGTGTTCTTTTACAAAGGGCAATATGAGTAACTAGGTAGAATTTGTATTGGATCCTCACTTCTTGTGATAAGATTGAATTAGATTATTGTGTTTACAGCTCAGGAGAGAAAAGAAATAATATATATATAGAGAGAGATGGCACAGAGCGAGCAAGAGAAAAGCCAGATATACTGGTGACGGCAAGCACAGGATCTGGGAGAGGACCGCCTTTGCGTCACTGTTTTCTCTTTATTTTCCTTCTTCTTTTTCTTGCACATGTACAGTGAAGGCAGCAGGCCTTAGGGGACTGCTTTAGGACTGTTGTGTTATTAACTTGGTAGGATGCATGCTAAAGATTTTCAAAAGGATCATATTGTGACCTGCGAAGCTTTATATAAAACTTAGCTTGGTAGGGAGCTCTGGTGGCTTAGTGGCAAGAAGCTGCACCGCAATCCCAGATATACACGGTTCGAATCCACCAGATGCTCTGCTGGAGAATGAGGGACAATCTCCTCCAATTTGACGGTACATACACACAAAAATAATAAACTAAAAATAAAAAAAAATTAGCTTGGTCTTTTTAGGTAGTTACTAATCTTCATTTCTCCCCTGTAATTTTAGCATTTCTTCCCTCCCTTCCCAGTAAAATAACCAAACACGAACCACTGTTAAAATGATTTTGACAAAAAAAATTTATTTTGCCACCACAAGAAGATAAAGGTAAATAATCCAATAGAAAAATGGGCACAGGATATGAACAGACACTTCATCGAAGAGGACATCAGATGGCTAACAAGCACATGAAGAAATGTTCAAAATCCCTAGCTCTAAGAGAGATGCAAATTAAAACAACTATGAGATATCAGCTCACCCCAGACATAATAGCAAAATTTAACAAAACAGCAAGCAACAAATGCTGGCGAGGTTGTGGAGAAACTGGAAGCCTTATTCACTGTTGGTGGGAGTATAAAATGGTGCAACCACTGTGGAAGGCGGTATGGCACTTTCTCAAAAAGTTGCATATAGAGATACCATTTGACCCAGCAATTCCACTCCTAGGAATATACCCCAAAGAGACCATAACTGACATCCAAACAGATATATGCACACCCATGTTTATTGCGGCTTTGTTCACAATAACAAGGAGTTGGAAACAACCTAAGTGCCCATCGACAAACGAATGGATAGAGAAGCTATGGTATGTTCACACAATGGAATACTCTGCTTCATTGAAAAGCAAGAAACTCATGCAGTATTATTCAAAATGGGTGACTCTGGAGGGCATTATGCTGCATGAAGTATCTCAGTCACAAAAGGACAAATACTGCATGGTGCCACTGTTGTAAAACAGGATTAACCTTGGGGTTGGGGGGAGACTGGGAAAGATGGGTTCAATAATGTATACTGCATTGAAACAGCTGAGGGAGAAAATTGTTTAAAAGGGATATGTGATTAGGTATTTTTGTCATGACAGGATTCTAGAGCGAAGGCTACACGGTGGAGTGGACCTGGGGGAGGGTTTGTAAAGCAATGAAAGAATTTTTCTTTTACATTTCCAAGAGGGTAGTGTACTAGGTGGGAGGGTTGGAAGAGAAGAAAACTGCAACAATGAATGAATGGAAATCCAAAATCTCTGTAAATTTTTACTGAAATTAATAATAAATTTAAATAAAAAAATTAAAAAATGATTTTGCATAGGAGAAAGAATGTAACTCAGCTTGTGATGAAAATGAAGAGAGACGTCTGTATGAAGGCTTGGTCAGTGTGTTCCCTGTTGATTACAATCCTCTCATGTTCACTGAGGAGGAGTCAGGAAAACTGCAGGTGCTGACCAGGCTACTAGAGGTCATCCGTGAACTCCGCCCTTCGGAAAAGTAAGAGAATGACTTAATTAGCTGCATTTAAGTACATGGGGAATTTTAATTTGACCTGTGCCCTTTTTTGCTTTCTTCCTTACCTTCTCCTCAGTTTAAATAAAAAGAAATTAATGATTTTCCTCTTTGTAGCATGGTTAGCTTCTAAGAATCTATATATTAATAATTAATAAGGTAGACACAGGCTTTAAGAAAAATCTGTAAATTTAGAAAATAAGGAGATTTTTTTTAACAACAGTTACGTATTTTGGGTTTTTATTTTGGAAACACTTAAGATATTTTTTTTAGGTGTCTTTTGATATGTAGCATTTACTTGTTTCTCAGTGTCCTCCAGTATACTGTCTTCTTTTCCTGTTTGTGTTAATATTTCATCAGACTCTTCTTAGTCTTCTTTAAGTTGTATATCTGGGGATCTCTGCTCACCACACTTTCACCTGTTACCTTGATATATTGATTCAAGACATGTATCTCTAGGCTAACCCTCTTTTCTAAGTTCCACATTTTTATTTCTGCTTAATAGTGATTAAATTTACTTGGATGCTCTGTGGAATTTAAAATTTCACATGTTCAAAACCGGCTTCATTGTTTTGTTATTTCAAGCCCATTCTTTTTTTATTATCCTTTAGTTTTATAAATGGTGCCATAAATGTAAGCAAAAAACTACAAATCATTCTGGGCTCACTTTTCTTCCTTATTTTCCCAACATTTAGTTAGTTACTAATCGAAATGGGGTTTATTTCTTAATCTTAGGAATTCCCTAGATTTCTGTTAATGGAATCCTCTGTATACACAGTCAGACCTTGTTGACTGGTGCCCTTCATTGTAAGGTAATCAGACAGTTAACTGAAGTTTTCAATTGAGGATTTCCAATCTGTGGTTTTTTTTCCTTTGGTGTCATTGAAGTTTCTCTGGAGATGAATTCTTCAATGTCCAGGAAGGCCTGGGCGGGGATGCAGTAAGGTGCCTGATTATTGGTATTCTGGGAGTTAGTTGGAAAAGTGGCCTGATGTTTTGCTATTTGGTTTAAAAACTTTCTTTTGACCTGTCACTCCATCAATGCCACCCAGAGTCCTCAAGTCTAAGTTCTTTGGTTAAATTTCATTGGATTTTGCTCTAATGCATTCTATTTGAGAAAGAAACATACCTGGTTACATTGGGATAGGGCCCGAGGTCTTTTTACCAATGCCATTATAATAGTTCAGTCTAAACTCCTTCCTTCTGAAATACCCCTTGGTTTTGGTAACTGACTCTTAATAAGATTCTGTGGTGCAGATTAACTTGCTCTTGTTTCTTGTTGGAAGTTTGTCTTCATTATTCTAAGCAGTTTTTCGAGTTACTTCAGATAGAAGGCATAAAGTCTTTACTCCACCGTCTTAAAACTGGAAATCTCTTAGATACTGACTTTAATATTACATTTGAAAGAGAATCTGTGTTTAATGGTATAGAGTCATTTTGGCATTTTCTTTGATTAACTATAATCTTTTTTTGTGATATTTTGCTTCAAGTTAAATGTTTAATATTGTCTTTGATTTTTTTTTTTTTTTGGTTCACAGGGTGGTGTTGGTATCCAACTACACACAGACCTTGAATATTTTACAAGAAGTTTGCAGTCGCCATGGATATGCCTATACAAGGCTTGATGGACAAACACCAATCTCTCAAAGGCAGCAAATAGTTGATGGCTTCAATAGTAAATACTCTTCCGACTTTGTTTTCCTGTTAAGTTCAAAGGCTGGTGGTGTGGGACTTAACCTTGTTGGAGGATCTCACTTAATTCTCTACGACATTGATTGGAATCCAGCTACTGATATCCAGGTAGGAGTATTTATACATTAAATAAACAGTTTTAAATGTATGTTGGTAATGCTGTGTCTGCTAGGGGCAAAAAATACGATGTAGCAATAACTATCACAGTGAGCCCTTCAGTATATATCAGACACTCTGCTAAGTGCTTTCCATGTATTTAATCTTCACAACTACAGATCCAACTATGTCATATTAAATTGTGTCTGCCAAAAATACGTGTTTATACTGATGTGGTCTAATTGGTAAAGAGTTGTGCTACCAACCCCAAGGCAGGCAACTTGAATCCACCAGCTGCTCTTCAGAAGAAAGGTGAGGATTCTCCTCTCAGGGGATTTGTTGCTGTCGTTGTGTACCGTCGAGTCAGAACTGACCCATGGCTCACCCTCCAGCAGGTTGTTAAAGGCATTGAATCATGCAGGAGGAGGTAGCCCATTTTTTTAGCCCGCTGGGAGATTCGAACCACAGTCCTTTGGGTTGTCAGTACAGCTCTTTACCATTACAGCCTCCAAAACCTCTCTTAAGGGTCAGCTATGAGTCAATTCTGACTGCACAGCAATGAGTTTAAGGTTTGGCTAATGTAATGTGGAAGATTTGTAAGGATCCCTCAAGATCTGAGAAGCCAGGCATTTGCAGTAGGATTAAGGGTGAGATGCAAACCTTTAATTCTGATCTGTTCTAAGGATAGTTTTTCCAGGGTATGTGACATTTCCTATTTCAAAGAGATAAAAAGAGAAAAGTAAGCAGAGGGAGACCTTGGTATCATCAAGAAAGAATCACCAGGAGTATGCATCCTTTGAACCCAGGTGTCTGCACTGGGAAACTCCTTGTAGGGAAGGCCATGACATACAAGGATTGTAAGTGAATGCCAGGCCTACAGCTGCTAAAGGAAACAAGGACCTTCCTCCAGAACTGACACAGAGAGATAGCCTTCTCCTAGCCTCTTAAAATGTGGAAAAATACTTTTCTGTGTGTTAAAACCATCCACTTTTGGTTTCACTGTCCAAGCAGCCCTGGATAGCTTACCTCTACCCACTGCCTTCAAGCCGATTCCTACACATAGTGACCCTTCCAGCGTCAGAGACTGTAAATCTTTGTGGAAGATGACTTTCCAGCTTTCTCCTAAAGAGCAGTTAGTGGCTTCAACTACAGGCCTGGTAGTTAGCAGCGTAATCAAAGTTCCTTTAGATAACAAAGAAAAGGTATTGTTGTTGTGTCAGAACCGACCCATAGTTGACCCAGAGGGTTTTCAGAGGCAGTGAATTGCTTAGCAGGAGATTGCCCGTCTTTCTCCTGTGGAGCAGTATGGATTTGAACTACATATTTTTAGGTTTGCAGGGCAGCTTTCTTACCATTAGGCTACCAGAGCTTCCTAAGGTATTATTAGTATTTAACAAATTAAGGTTGAAGTTTATTAAGAGGTATGCTTTATTTTTTTTTAAGTGTCAGAGCAGGTATTGAAACCCAAACCTGTAGGTCTCTAGGTGCTAATACGTTACAGAGTTTGGCCTCAAGGTATACACAACTATCAAAGGGTTGTCGATGCTAAGATCAATATTTGTTCAGGGTAGAATGAGGATGTGAGATTTATGTATTTAGGCAGATACTTCAGGAGATGGTTTTGGCTTTCTTTAGTGTGTAGACTTTTTTTTTATACATTTTGGGATTTCTGTCTACAAATTGCCTCTCATTTTGTATCTGAATTTGAAAATCTCCATGAGCACCTCCGGGGTTCAGTAACTCACTAGTAGGATTCACGGAATTAAGAAAAGGTTATAATACTCATGATCAGTTTGTCATAGTGAAAAGTTACTGACTAATATCAGCTAAGGTGAAACAGACATAGTGCAAAGTCCAGGAGAGAATAGGTGTGAGCTTCAGCTGTCCTCTCCCAGTGGGGCTGTGTGAACAGCCTTTAATTCTCCCAGCAATGAGGTACAATAGCATATATAGAATCCCAAACCTTCTTGGCATCCAGGTCTTATTGTTGACCAGTCACATAGCCGTGGAACATTATTGTAATGAACACCAGTTACTCAGGCTCCAGGTCCTCCAGAGATCAAACTGATGTCATGTTACTCTCAGCTGGGGTGACAGCAAAATGGCTGGCTGGAAAGCTTTTGTGCATTGTTTAAGCAGAAATGTATTGTTTATTATAAAACATACCTGTAGTTAGTTATAACATCATCAGGCCAGCTTGTATATGTGAAACTTGATGTTAATTGACACCTCTGAGGAAGAAAGGTGGGCAGTCCCATCTTCCATATGATTTACAGCATCAGATATCTGCTAGAGGGTCAGCTATGAGTTGATTTCCACTCATTGATAATGAGTTTGAGTTTTTGGGTTTTGAATGCACTCTTAACCACTCACTACCCAGTTACAATGATGCTTCAAATCAAAACAAATTCAAATCCTTTGTATGCACTGCACATACACACTATTGTTTTCATTATTGCCAATCTATATATAGTTGCTGATTTTGTCAGATTTTCTTTATCTTAACTACAATATTGTGAGCCAACATCAACAACTTTTTAAGCAAGTAGTTAAAGGAAAAGAAGAAAAATCTAAAAAGCTAAATGTAGAAAGATTTTACAAAACAATTTTATTGTTAGTATTATCTGCAAGGAGGGAAATGAGCAACAATGAATGAATGGAAATCTGAGTTCTGTGTAAACTTTGATTAAAATATCAATTAAAAAACCCCAAACAAAAACAATTTTATTGTTAGTATCCACATAATCCAAGATGTGATTACATTTAAGCCATTTACAACGGAATTAATTAAGTTATTATTTTGTTGAAATTGGTAATAAGCATTACTGAAGATTCTATGTGATCAGAAGCAGGTCAGTCAGGGTGGGGCATGACACCAACTTTAGTGACACCACCGACTGAACCCCTTTCCTTCTATTCAGTGTCTTAGTTCTCTAGTGGTGCTGTAATAGAAAGCTCACAAGTGGCTGCTTTTAGCACACTTATTATCTCTTGGTTTAGGAGGCATGAAATCCAAATTTGGGGTGTTGGCTGTAGGGCTGGGCTTTCTTCTCTGCCTCTCCTGGTTCTAGGACTTTCCCAGTGGAATGACTCGGGTCTAAAGGACATGCTCTACATTCTGATCTTTTTTTCTTTAGTGATACTGTCTCTCCTCTCTGCTTGATTCATTCCCCTTTTGTCTCTTGTACAAGTAAAGGTGTTTCAGGCCACATCCCAGGAAAGCTCCCCTATATCTCACCAGAGCTTTGAAAGGTTTAAGGGCTTCCCACACTTAATCCTTTTATAACTGATGGGCTTGTCAGATCTTGAGGTATCCCTAGGTGATAGTCACATTGTTGTTTGTTGTTGTTAAGTGCTGTTGAGTTGAGTATGATTCATAGTGACCCACTCAACAGCGGATCTGAACCCTGTCCCGTTCTGTGCCATCCTCATACTTCCTGACACACTAGAACCCATTATGGCAGGAACCATGGACCATTACCATACATCATTACAATCTAAAAACTGAATCATTGCCCAGAGGTGTTGACAAATATTTTTGGAAATGGTTTAAATCCAAGACAACTAGGGAAAAGATAGTAAGTGGAAGTGGAGACATGTGTAGGCTTTATTTATTGAAACAGTAAGTAAAAGCTGGAAATCCTGATTATAAATACATGTATGTAACAGGCTTATGTGGGAAGAGGCATTATTTTATACTGTATACTTGAGTATTATAATTTATTTTTTATAGGCAATGTCTAGAGTTTGGAGAGATGGACAGAAGCATCCTGTACATATTTACAGACTTTTAACCACAGGTAATAATAACCCCCAGTGTGATAAAATAAAAAAAAATTAAATTAAAAAAATATTAGACTGTGTTTTAATGCCAAAAAATACAGCTGTCCCACTGATTTACTTTGAGCCTTTTGGGTTGATTCTGACCCATGGTGACCGCCTGTGTGACGGAACAGAACTACTCCAACCACCCTGTTGAGTTTTCTGGAGTGCAGTCTTTATGGAAGCAGATCAACAGCCTTTCTGTAATGATGCTGCTGGGTGGTTTGAACTGCCAATCTCTAGGTAATAGTAGCCCAACCCATTTGTGCCATCTGGAAAGCTTTTCCTAAACTTGTATGTTAATAAATATATTTTGCCTTAAAAAATAATAGAACGATCACAAGGAAATCTGATTATTATTTTTCTCTTCAGGTACGATAGAAGAAAAGATCTATCAGAGACAAATTAGTAAGCAAGGTCTCTCTGGAGCAGTTATGGACTTGGCCAAGACATCAGAACATATTCAGTTTTCAGTAGAGGAGCTTAAAAATTTGTTCACTTTACATGAAAGTTCCCACTGTGTTACCCATGACCTGCTTGACTGTGAGTGTACAGGAGAACAAGATCATACAGGTAGGTTACATTTTGTTTCTATCACTATGCTCACATTAGTTTGTCTCTATTTAGCAGCTGAAAATAGAAAAATATGGAATAGTATAAAAATATTTACCATTTGCGAGTGCTAATCTTCTTTATTTTTTCCCCTTGGTTCAAAGAGCAATTTCCAGAAATATAATTGAGGAAATGTGAATTAGAACATTATCACCTACTGACATTGATTCAGTTCCAAGTCATGATACCCTCCCTGAGGTTACCAATGGTGTACATTTTAATAGGAGAAGGCTGCCTTATCCTTCTCCTGATGGGAACAGAAAATCCTTCAATCCTGCTATAAGGCTTTGAAGTCAGACAGTCTTGTTCATTCTCACTTTTGTTTTCATAAAAAAAAAAAACCAAACCATACACTTGACATAAGACTCATACTGTTTTATTTAGATTATATAGAAATTATTCCATTCTTTCTGAGGCAGTTAGCATGGGCTACAGTATCCCTTAATTTTTGATGAACTGTTTGTCCTGTTTAAATGAAGCTAAAAATGTCAAACCAACAGAATTGACTTTTCAGAAGGGAACTGGATCAGAAGTAAGATTTGGGCAAGGAATTTTAATTCATAGGAAGTCACTTGATAAGTTGCATTATAATAGATTTAAGAAGGGAGACAGGGAAAGAATTTAATTTGGTTGCTTTTATTAATTTCATGTGTACTCATTCCATTTTGGCTGAACTTTCATTGATTCATTTTATGGTAGGGGGTATACACATAAGCAGATAAATACAGTAAAATTTTAATTATGCTTTGATGAAAGTTTATGGCTAACGTTGAGAAGAATGGGAATCTCAGAACACTTATTTGTGCTCAGGCTAAACCTAGACCAGGAAGCTGTTGTGTAAAAAGGGTAAGGGAACCCTGCATAGTTTAAAATCTACATGGATCAAGAAAGATCGGTGTCAGGGCTATATTCTTTCTCCATGCCTGTTCAGTCTGTATGCTGAGAAAATCACCTGAGAAGCTGGACTTTATGAAGAAGAATATGACACCAGATCAGGAAGACTTAGAACAACCTGCATTATACAGATGGCATGACCTTGCTTGCTGAAACGGAGGAGGACTTGAGACACTTGCTGCAGATGATCAAAGACTATAGGCTTCAATATGGACTACAACTAATCATCAGGAAAATAAAAACAAAAATCCTCACCATCTGTCCAATAGACAACATCCTGATAGATGAATAGATTTCATCCTACTTGGTTCAACAGTCAACACTCTTGGTACCAGCAGTCAGGAAATTAAAAGATATGTTACATTGGGGAAATCTTCTGTCAGAGACTTCTCCAAAGTACTGAGCAGCAGTGATATACTTTTAAAACTAAGCTGTACAGTGAATAAGGATGACAGAAGAATTGATGCCTTTGAGTTGTCGTGTTGGAGAAGAATACTAAAATGTCCAATGGACTACTTTGGGCATGCTGTCAGGAGAGGCCAGTCTTTGGAAAAGGATATTGTGCTTGGAAAGGTCTAGGGTCAGAGAAAAAGTCTGCATCTGTCATCCTTATTCATAGTTGAGATGGAAATTCATAGTTGATTGGAAATACCCTGGTCTGAATCAAGTGCACTTTAGTCTTTCGACTGACATCATTGTTCTTAGAGACATTGGAGAGAGCCCTAACAACAGACTTTCTCAATATTAAATGTCTCCTGACTGCTGGTACCAACGGTGTTGACTGGATCCAAGCAAGATGAAATCATTGAAAATGTCAGTCTCTTTTTCATCTATCATGATGTTGCCATTTGGTCCAGTAGTGAAGATTTTTTTGTTTTGTTTTGGTTTTTATTTTTGTGTTTTTAATAATGAGATGTAATCCATATTGAAGGCTACATCCTTAATCCTCTGTAGGAAAGCGTGTCACATTCTCCTCACTTTTAGCAAGCAAGGTTGTGTTGTCTGCAAAAGGCAGGTTGTTGGTGAGCCTTCCTCTAATCCTGATAGTATGCTATTCTTTATAATGTCCAGCTTCTCAGATTATTTGCTCAGCATACAGATTGAATAGGTATGGACAGAGGATACAGTCCTGATACACCCCTTTCCTGATTTACCCTAAGGGTCTTATGTACAACAACAAAATTTCTGAGACACACACACACACACCCACACACACACACACATATATATATCTAAGAACATATCCTAAGACATACTCATCTTCAACTTTACTAAAAACGGCCCAGGTTTTTGGTACTAGGAGTCTAGCATTTCCACGATGGAACTGAAATAGTTTGCATTTCCCTGCTAACTTGTGAAGTGGAGCCATTTCCTGCATGTGTTTGTTGGCCATTCTAAGGGTTTTTTTTTAAGTTCTTCAGTATCAAATTGCATCAATTTATTAAGAGTTAAACGTGAAGAACACCACAGATTTAAAACCAAGTAGAGTGCCTGATTCTTTTTTTAATTCCACAAATACCTAGGATCTCCAAGTAACATGTAAACACATCTCTATGCTGCCCAAGGACTTCTTTCCAATCTCTACAATAAACTAAATGGTATCAGTTCTAATAGATGACTTTTTATGTAAGTTATGGTTTCATTCATTACTTTGACTGATGTAGCAAAGAGGAAAGATTTTCAACAACTGTATTTATTTATTTATTAATCTATCTATCTATCTATCTATCTATCCTGTTGGTTACACTTTATTGCATCAGATGGGCTTTGGGGGACAGTGGGGCGCACTCAGTCCTTCTTGGCAGCCGCCTTCCTCATGGTGGCCAGGACGTTGCTGAGCTCTTCTCGCTTCCTCTTGGCGCGGATGTATGTCCCCAGCCTTTTCTTGATGAACTTGAGGGCCCGCTTGTCCTTGGAGACCTTGAGCAGCTCCATGGCGCATCGCTCGTAGGGCGCGAAGCCACACACCTCCTGGATCATGTCCTGCATGAACTTGGTGTGCTTGGTGAGGCGCCCGCAGCGGCAGCTGTGCCTGGGCTTGCTCACGTTCTTGGTGACTTTGTGGCCCTTGTTGAGGCCCACGGCCATAGGGTAGTGCACTGCCATGGCTGCTGCACGTCTATCAACTACTGTATTTATTTAAAACAAATTGACAGGTTTAAGCACCTGTCATTAGAAAAGCCAACAGTATTTCTTAATGTATTTAAAGTAAGATTTGGCCTAAGCCCTTAATACCTTCCTAAACAGCCATGCAACTAAACACTCTTAAGAGATGTTGCATAAGGGAGGACAATATGAAGCAATTTGCACTTTTCCCTGGATAACAGAAACAAAGTGAAGCATGTCCAGATCTTTCTGATTGAATGGCTGTCATGTTTCATACACTCAGCTCTACAAAACTATCATATATGCCTATATAGATATATACTTATTATTTTTTAATACAGTCTTGTTTGCTTCAAAATTTAAGGATGATCTTTTTCCTGGTTAGTCACTTCAAGGAAACAATAAATAAAGTAGAAAAGAATAAATTGTTTGAATATTTCTGTGGAAGAATGGAAAACATGTATACTTTGAGAGGTTCAGAAAATTCACTGTACAGAATGAACAGCTTATATACATTCTCTGTGCAATTTTTCTTGGCTGGGGTCTTTAAATGCAAGAGCTCCTCCAAGGTAAGCCACATTCATTCTTGTCCAAATCCTTTTGTTTGTTCTATTGCAAAAAGAAGCTTTTCCTTTAGTTGCTCATAACTCTTATATGTTGGTAGATCCAAGCGATTAAGACATGTATGGCTTCTTGGTAACCAGGTGTCTTTGCAAACTTTTCAATACAAAATTTTTGAGGCCCATTACTTCTCATCAGCTCTGCAAATCCGCCTAGAGGCAGGTTCCGGTGACAAACTGCAAGGGTCACATTCATACTTCATTGTCTGTCTCTTTCACAAACTGCCGAACCAAGTGATTTGCTTGCTGTTTCTTGTATAATGTCAGTAAACAGTATTTCTTTGCGAATCTGCCAGGTCAACCTCTTGCATGCCACATAACTTAACCTCTAATTCTTTTTCGTCAAAGTACTGTAGCCACTGACGGGAAACAACTTCATTAAAACCATCAAGGAAAGCTTGGTTTTGCTCTTGTACTCCTCGAGAAAAACGCCATTCTGTCATCAGTCCAAAATATTCGTCTTTGTTCTCCTCAACTAGGATAGTAGAACCTCCCAACTTCAGATCATGTGAAATAACTTTTCCCAAGATCTCCATGTCAACAGAAAAGTACATTTTAAGCCACATTCTTCAAGGTTTTTGTCTCTTATCCAGCTAAGAGTTACAAAATTCCGTATCAATGGATTCCAAATCCTTGATAATAAGTTTCTTACTTAGCATGCGCTTGTAGAGTGGTAACAAGAAACCAGTATTAATAAATTTTCCATGGAAAAGTGCCATAACAATAAGGTGACCAATGAAACAGAAGTATGAAAGATGATCGGGATTAATGGTTGACGCTGGGTTATTCTGCAGGAAGTAGTTGTTCTTGCCAGCATACTCAAATAAACAATACATAGGGTTCAAAACTTCATGGGAAAGTAAGAAAAACTATTCTCTTGCTAAGCCACCATAATCAAGTCCTTCTCCTTGAAATAGTACGTGTAATCACCTCCTCAAGTCATATGGTTTTAATGCCATCATCTGTTGGAAGGAATCTTCAAACAATGTCTGGTGGGACATGTTGATCTTCACATGGCTGGGTAGTGCGTTATAGACTGGCACAAATAATGGAATTGAATTAGTTTCCACCTAAAACTGCCATTTGTAAGTCATTTGTGGACCACTTTTAGTCACAGGTGACTTCCCGTTCCAAGGGTCTTTAAATGTTATTGTTCTTATGTTATGATCAACAAAGTATCGAATACCTTCACCTATGTATCTGATCTCCCAGCCTCTGGCAGGGGTTCTTCATTCTTTAGGCCTTGAGTTCTTGGGTTTTCCCACTGGGTTGTTTTTGTATTATGATTCACAAAGTAAACCCTGTCCGTTGAATCCACCCTTTCCCCCAGCCTGGTGGCAA